ATGCAGGGATCTGATTTTTTAAGAAGCATATTGTAAGCCTTAAAGTTCTATTCAAATGGTAGCTACTATGTGATTATTATCCTTAATATTTAAAACCTCCACTAAAGTCCCACTCTGAGAAATCATCTTGGCCTGAAGGTAAGCCTGGATTCTCAAAGGCTGCGGCCCAAGAGCATAAACTCTCATTGCTCTTACCAAGCCATAGAGAGTTCAGTTGAACAGAGACAGTAATGGCCTGTGTGTCTGCCGTCCAAAAGCAAGCCTCCCTAAATTTTGAAAGGATAAGTAGCATTTTTATATAATGCTCTACAAGGTTTGCAAAGTGCTCTGTATTTCTTTCTTTTTTTTCAGGCAATTGGGGTTAAGTAACTTGGCCAGGATCACACAGTTAGCAAGTGTCAAGTGTTTAGTCTGAGGCCACATTTGAACTCAGGTCCTCCTGACTTCAGGGCTGGTGCTCTACCCACTGCACCACCTAGCTGCCCCTTTGTATTTCTTATCTCGTTTGATGAGAATGGCTCATTAATAGGTACTTGGCCAACAGGTGATAACTCTTTGCCACAGCAGCTTCTGGTGTCCAGGTACCGACATGCGGAGAGGTTTCAATCTGCATTGGTGGAGGGAAGGCCCATACTGATGAAACCGGGGATTTATAAAAGTGTTTGAAGAAGTATGAGGCAGTTAGGTGTCATAGTGTGATTAGAGTGCCAGGCTGAGTCCAGAAGATCTGATTTCAAATGCTGCCTCAGACACTTACAAGCTCTCAGTATCACTTATTTCATCTATAAAGTAGAAATAATAATAGTACTTACCTCACAGGGTTGTTGTGAGAATAAAAAGACATATCAAGTGCTTTGCAAACCTTAAAGCATTTTTTGTTATGATTATTCATTATTATTCCAAAATGATACTTCTTTTTAAAAAATTTACTTAGCATTCATTTACAAAAATTTTGAGTTTCATGTTCTCTCCCTCCTTCTAGCCCCTCCCCTGTCTATTGAGAAGGCAAGAAATATGATGCCCATCATACGTGTGAGTCATGCAAAATATATTTCCACATTAGCTACATCACAGAAAACAAAGCAAGAAAAATAAAGTGAAAAAAATATATCTACTTCAATCTGCATTCAGAATTCATAAAATGACACTTCTAACAAGAATTTCCCCCTGTAACAACAAGTGATCACGGATCTTTCCTTGAAGACCTCCAGGAAAGGGGAACCCACTACTTAATAAGTAGGATCATTTTAATTTTGGACATCTCTAATCAAAAGGAAGCCTTTTCTTGACTTTAAGCCTAAACTAGCAGCAGCGACTTCTGCCTAATGCTTCTTGTTCTGCCTCTAGGGCCAAGCCCAATAAGGCTAATCCTTCTTTTTTCCAGAAACAGCTGTTCAAATACTTAAAGACTTCTCTTCCCTAATTTTCAGATCCCTGGTTTCTTTAGTCAATCCTCACATGAAATGAACTACTGGCTTTTCCACTATCCGGACTGCCTTTCTCTGGACATTTTCCATCTAATTTTGGTAATTCATGTGGTAATTCATGCCAATTGATGTTATTGTTGCTATTTAGTCGTTTCAGACTCCTCACGGCCCCATTTGGGGTTTTCTTGGCAAAGAAATTGGTTTGCCATTTCTTTCTCTAGTTCATTTTACAGATGAGGAAACTGAGGCAAACAAGGTTAAATGACTTGCTCAGGGTCACATAGCTAATAAGTGTCTGAGGCTAGATTTGAACTCAGGAAGATGAGTTTTTCTGACTCTAGGCCTGGCGCTCTAGCCACTGTACCACCTACTTGCCCTTGCCAATTCATACTTAATAATTATGTTGCACTTTATCGTTTTTCACAGGCTTTTACAGTCTTCTACATGACACATTTTCACAGGATTTGCAGTCTGCTACATGACAACCCTAATTTTTTTCAGACAAGATCTACGATTTCATTAAGTATAGAGAACTTCCAGTAGGTAGCTGCCTCTACTACTGCAGGTTAGCACCTGCTTGGGAACTTAGTCTAAAAGAACTGCTTGGGGCCCTGAGACTTTAAATTACTTTCCCAGGACCATAAAGTCAGTGTATGTCAGAGGCAATACTTGAACTCAGGCTTTTCTAACTGTTAGGCCAACTCACTGTTCATTATTCCATGCTTCTCTGATCATAGGTTCATAGATTTAAAGTTAGTATAGACCTTAAAGATTATTTAGCACAACCTCCTTATTTTGTAAATGAAACTAAGAAACATTAGGGTTAAGGACATACAGGCAGTAAATAGCACAGCCGAAATCTGAACGCAGGTACCCTGATACAAAATCCAGTCATCTTCCCACCAACTAGGCTTATGTAGTGCACAGAAGGACTGGCGCCCACCTGCAGTTATAAAGAGTGCTTGAGCTATTAAAGGCATAGCAGGTGCTGACTCCCATATCTGTTTGCATGTTGTTAAATAAATGTGAAACTGGGGAGAAGTGCCATCCCTGATAACTAGCTGCATTTTATCTTTCCAATTTTACTTTCATTGGTGCCAAACGAAGGAAGCTTTTTTTCAGGCTGAACCACAACCAAATGTAGTTTGACGAAAACCTGTTACTTTTAAAATGTTTTTCTTTAAGCATAGATGATGTCAGTTGTCTGTCCAGTAGATCTGACCCACAGAACCATTTGTCTTTTTTAATGAAATTTTATTTTTTTTTCAATGACTAGCATATATTTTCTCCCTTTTGGTACATCCCAACCCCTCCTGCTGAGAAAGAAAAAAAGAAAAACAAAATCGTTATAATAGTTATAGCCAAGCAAAACAAATTGGGCAGATCCAAAAATGTATGTTTCATTCTGTGTATTGAACTCACCAACTCTATTAGGTGGTAGGTAGCATGTCTTGCTTAGTCATTTCACCAAACCACATTTCTAACGAAAGAAACTGCTTAAGTTGTAGTCAGAGCAAAAGGCACACAGTAGATCGTCAATAAATACTTGGTTTTGGACTCATGTTTCCTTGTTGTGACCCTTAGGGAGTCAGAGCTCAATGGAGTGCTGCTAGAATGACTGGCCCCCCTCTGCTGTGCTGAACTTTGTTTGCCCTCTACCAAACCACTGGCAACCCGGAAGGGGTACCAGGCTGGGCCAGAGCTCTAGAATCACCGAGTCACGATGGTCATCTAACCTAATCCAGAACTATAAAAGAATTTCCTCCATAACATACCTGACAAGTGATCATTCCGTTTTCTTGAAGGCCTCTAATGAGGAAGAGCCCACTGCCTCCCAAAGTAGTCCATCCCACTTTTGAACATATCAGACTGCAAGTTTTTCTCTTTACATCAAATCTGAATTTTCCTCTTTGCAAATGTGCACCCATTCCTCCTGGTTCTGTTCTCTGGAGTGAAATAGTATAAGTCTGATTTCCTCTTCCAGCTTGAAGAAAATGATTATGTTTCCCTCCTCTCCCTATGTCTTTCCCCACCAAAAATCTTCTCTTCTTCAGGCTATGTATCCCCAGCGCCTAGCATGTACTAGGCACTTAATGTTTATTGAAGGGGTATCTAGGTGGTACAATAGATAGAGCACTGGCCCTGGGTCAGGAGGACCTGAGTTCAAATCCAGCCTCAGACACTTACTAGCTGTGTGACCCTGGGCAGATCACTTAACCCTGGTTGCTTCAAAAAAAAATTATTGATCGACTCCACTGATAGCATGAACTCAAGGCTCTTTGCCAGACTGGTTGCTCTCCAGCTTTCAATGCTCTCCTAAAATGGGATGCCCACAATTGAAAACAGTAAGCCAGATGTAGCCTGCTGAGGTCAGAGTCCAGTTGGATCACCAACATCTGATTCCTGATGCTACATATCTCTTAATATAGCATTAATTTTCTTGGCTGCCGTGTCTCACTTGGGCATGCAGATGGTGACTACCTAGCCACAAGAAAAAGTCAAGGGTGAGGCCAGAAACTGAGAAAATCTGTTGGAGGGTAGGATGTGTCTATGTCTACACAATCCTGCCAAAGATTCCCACCCTTTCAGCAGGATACTGTCCACTAAGTGAGTTTCTTTCTATGACTGTGCTTTGGAAATGGGTGCTTAGATCAGGTGGAGCACACTACAAAGGCTCCAGAGAACTGGGCCCTCATTGGCCAGTCCCACCCCACTCCTTCCTTACATATGAAATAGATGGTTGATCAGGGAGCCTTTGAACAATTTAATGATGAGGCTATAAGATAGGCTTTGTTCAGAAGGGCACCTCCCATAGAGCTAGGCATGCACCCCAGCTCCTTGCTGAGAGGATCTAGAGAACTCTTCTAATTGGTTCCCAATTGCCTCCAGAAACAACATGAATGCCAAGTGAGAGTACAGGAGGAATGGATTCTTGTGAGAAGAACTATCTTTACTTGTAGTCTGGAAGAATAAGCCGTTATACAGATTGTCCTCAGAGGTGCAGAGAGTATCAGTCAACTGTGCCAGGGCAATTTCAACTCAATAAACATTTATTAAGCACCTACTAAGTGCTGGGGACACAAATAAGGAAAAAAAGTCCATTCCCTCAAGCAGCTTACAATCTAATGGTGGAAGACAACACACAAAAGGAAGCTGAAAAGGGGAAGGGTGGGCACCAGGGAGTACTCAGTTCAGAGGCATGATGCTCCACGAAATAAAAACCAAGCAGAGCTGCTGACGGAGAATAGCATGAATGGAAAGTTCTGAGAGTTTAGTTCTCTATAAAGGAAGGCTTTTAGAGGAGTTCAGTGCTCTGCCCTCCAGTCCTACAAGCAAAGGGTTAGGGTTACTAAGGGAGTATCAAAAACTGAGTCAATGAGGTTGGCGCTCAGGTTTTCATTTATCAGCTTATCTTGGGGGGAAGGTAAGACATTCCAAGAAGCAGAAATTGAGCTCTTTGACTGTGCATTCCCCAGGAGATGGGGAAACTGTAAGTGCCAGTGTACCTGACCCATCCTCTGCATACCTGTAAGCTTGTCCCTTTTCTTTTTGTTCTTTTTTTTTTTTTTGCAGGGGCGGGAGGAGGCTTTCTCTTCCTTTACCTTCCAGACTACTGTGAAGTAAGAGGAATTCCAGAGCAAGAGAGGTAAGAGGACTGTGCTTGGCCAGGAAAGCCTCTGCCTTTCAGGTGCCAGTGGCTTTCTTCTGCCTGTTTCTTTTTCTGAGCACAAGCCAAACACTAGTGATCCTAGGAATGGATATTTCCAGTCTTGGGAGTTACCTTGGGGGTAAGCTTAAGTGCAAGAGTGGCCAAGTCCTACAGCGCCCAAGAGACTGAGAGTTCCTGAGCTCCAGGGTTAGGCAGTGGCCTCCCAGAAGGAGGTTTCCTTACCAGCTGTGGTGTATGGGGTGCTCAGGGAGGAATCTTCGATGTGAGCCATTATCCATCTTTTAACCCAACTCTCACTTGTGGTACCAAGAAGCTGTAGTATGTGCAGCGGCCACACCCCTGTAAAACCGTCTTGGAAGATGAGCTAAACCCATTGAGGGTAACTGACAGGCCTCAAACCTGTGGTTAAGCTAGGGGGATGTATACCTCAAGCATGTGGAAACCTCCCAGCAGAATGGGAGGATGAAAACAATTTGTTCCAATGGCCATGAAGGTAGCTGAAGCAGAGTTTGGTCAGACATTGGAGACACCAACATCATCTTGGGCCATCCCAGGACTTTTGTCTTGCCACTGGACTTCAATGACTCAGGAAAACAGTGAGGCTGATGCTTTGTGTAACTCTGCCTCACTTAAATCCAGTTCACTAGCAAATTAAGACATTACCCATGATATCATTCATTGGTCCCCTTAGAAAAAGAAGGATGCACAACAACTTACCAGCTAATTTCTCAGAAGAGGAGAGAGTATCAACCATGAAGGAAAGTCCTGCAGCTGAAGGAAGGCCTAAAACCAGCCCACAGAATCTTGTCAATATTTTATGATATTTTGGTGTGTTGTTCACATTGTGTTGATTGGAGGTGAACTTGCTGTTGTTCGGTTATTTTGGTTGTGATAGACTCTTTGTGACTCTATTTGTGTTTTTCTTGAGAAAGATAATGGGGTGGTTTTCCACCTCCTTCTCCAGCTCATTTTACAGATGAGTAAACTGAGGCAAACAGGTTTAAATGACTTGCCCAGGGTCACACAGCTAGTTAAATTTGTGAGGCCACATTTGAACTCAAGTTCTTTTGACTCCAGGCACTTTATCCACTGCACCACCTAGCTGGAGGCAAATGGAGGATATAAATTTGTAGGCACACTCTTCTGAGAAAGTCTAGCAAGTTCATTTCAATGTTTAATGTTTCTGTATTTATTCGTGAGCTGCTACAAGTCACTTTTATCTTACGTGCATTTTCTGTGGCGAATGACATAGAGGCTGTTCCATAGTCAAAACCCATATCACACAATGAATGCCAGTTTGAGTATTGGAAGCCTATTGCCCACACTTGGGGAAACCTGGATGAAAGCCATACTTAACCTTTATTCATATTTTGAGGTGAGGGCAAGGAGTCAAAGAGGAATAATAACTCCTTTGGGCAGGGATATGGTGGCAAATGTTTAACAACAGGTTTTCTGGAAGAAAAAATGTACATGCAACATATTTTTTTAAAGTTTAATCTGCATTAACTTTCCCCCCATCACTTTCTTAAGTCTAAAAAAATCAACAAAATGATAAATTGAGTCCTGACTTGCAGAGTTTGCCAATTCCTGAATGTAAATGCTCATAATGAAAATTTAACAATTAGCTTTTTTGAGCAGGTTTGAGCTGACTCTTACATGCTCCTGCCTTTGCAACCACCTCTCCCCCAGGATCTGACCAGATCCATGTGAGCCCTGAGTCCTTGGGGAGGCACTTGGCCACAGGGTATGCCTCTAGGGCTTCAGTAAACAATCTTTGTATCTTGGTACTTGTCTTACTAGAACACCAATATACATGTTCACTGTCAAAGTATTCTTTATATTATACACTTTATGATACTCTGAAAATAAAATTCTCTCATCAACACATGCACACACAATAGGGATACTTCTCTAATGTATCTTTAATACTGATATAGTACTGCTTGACAACACCAGAAGTGTCAATAGGTATTGCACATACTATAAATGTAGGTAGGGTTAGTTTTCAAGGGATGTTGCTGGTGCTGGCACTGTAGCCATGTCACAGAGTAGTGTAGTGATGTGAAGCTTCAAGCTATGTGGACGTCAAATGAAAAGTCCAGATTCTCCATGGATGGAAGCAAACCTAAGGTAAAAAGACAGCTGAGTTGTTAGGGAAAGACCTCTGTCCTCAGCTGCTGCCGCTCCCTCTCCATTTTCATTTCTGCCAGCCTCTAGCTCTACCTGTTCTGAGGCCCCATCTCAAACTGGGATGGGCATTGCCAAGACAATGCCTGGTTTCTTAGGTCATTCTGCTCTCCCTTAAACTTTTTTCTTTAGTGCAACAGAAACAATGTTGGACGAGTTTGAAAGGAATTTATACTGAAAGAAAAATAAAAATACTAGGGGCAAGCATGAAAAAGTACAATTGTATGTACACAAGGAGTCATTTACAGAAAATAGATTTCTTATGTCAAATTAAAATGTAGCCATAGATTCACATGAAAGGATCATATATCCAGAGCTGAAAGAACTTCAGCGGTCATCTAGCCCTGCCCACTCCATTTATACACAAGGAAACTGAAGAGGCCCAGAGGGAGGATAAAAGATTTGTCCAAGGTCAAAATAGGATTTGAACTTAGGTCCTTTGACTCCAATCCAGTGCTCCTATGAGTCGTCCTATCTCAGTTCTGCACCTCTAGCCAGTCTGGGTTGGAAGATAACCCAAGCTAGTCAAACTCTTAGCCTGAAGTGATTTCCATTCGGCACCATTTCCAAGTCTGATAAAAGTTTCTGTTTTTCCCAGTACCTACTTCCCAGTTTTCTTTATGGGTATCAGTCCCTGGGTCATCTCTTCCATCTCTTGGCTAAAAGGAATATTCACCAAGTATTTGAAGTATTTGTCTTGGCTCCCTGAAGGGTACAAAGTCTCAACATTTCTGTTGGAAAGGACCTGGGAGATGACCTAATCCAACTTGTACATATCCCCCATTATGATCCCAACAAGTGGTTATCTAGCCTCTATTTGAAGCCCTTCAGTAACAAGAAATCAAGTACTTCCTGGTGCAGCCCATTTCACTTTCGGACATCTCCAATTGTTTGAAAGTTTTCCTGGCTGTTAATATTCCAGATGTGTTCTGACAAAGGCAAAGTAGAGCTGGCTTGTTACTTCCTATTCTGCATATTATGCTTTTCAATGCTACCCAAGATCAAATTAACCACCGGGGCTCATTTTCCTCATCTGTAACAAGAAGGGGTTGTACTAGATGACCTAAATAGTCTCTTTCAGCTCTGACATTCTATGTTTCTATGGTTTATGATTCTGGACCTGACTGTTCTCTTGGCACCTTCTAATACAAATACACTGACAGAGATACACAGCTATGGGACAAATATAAAGTTGGTTAAAATAAAATTAAACTCCTAAATGAAATAATTTCATGGGTAAGGGGATATGGACAAAGATACAAAGGTATGTTTATAATTGTGGTGATGAGGTAGAACAGCAGTGGGAGTTACATATTGAACTTTTGAGAGAATGTGGGGGGAAGTAGGCAAGGAAGAGGATGACAGGATCTTCTCTAAGCTATCCATGGAGGTTTTGTGGAGGAAGCCACTCAGAAGAGCACTAAGGTCTTCCATTCCATGTTATGTTGCTTGGGACTTGAGTCAATTGTTTTTTTATTCATTTCTTTTTCATCCATAGGATGGGACAAAATTTGGGATTTCACTAGTCTAGGGAATTCTCAATTGAGGAAACTCCTGCTGGCACTTTCCCTTAAATTTAACTCTCATATAGCTGCCTAGACTTGTCCTGGGTCATGCAATCAGTATAAGTCTAAGATGGGACTGAATCCCAGTTTTTCTGGCTTTGAGGACAGCTCTCTCCAGCTTGTCTCCTTCTAAATTCAGCTCTTTAGTGAAACCTTTCCTGACCCCTTTGATATTAGTATTCTCTCCCTCCTCCTCCCAGTGATTAAGTATTTACTTAGTTGTTGGCATGTAGTACCTTCCCAGTAAAAATAATGCAAACTCTTTCGGGGCTGGGACTATTTTTCTGTTGGTCTTTTCAGTCCCTAGAATAAAGCACTGTGCCTTCTTCATAGTAGCACTAAAAGTTTATTTAGATAATTGTAACTACTAGATTCTTGTCAACCGCATCAGCACGCGTTTATTAAGCATTTATTTTTGCTGGGCACTGTGGTAAGTTCTGGGTATACAAAACGCAAAAAAACAAACAAAAAAAACCAGTCCCTGCCCAGAAAGAGCATACATTCTAATGAGGGAGACAGGTAAATAATTAGGTACACATGCATCTAGAATAGATGGGAGGGGTAATCTCAGAGGGAAGGCTATAGCTAGAGTTGCTGGAGGCTAGAGGAGGGAGGGAATCAGGAGATACCTCCTACAGAAGGTAAGATTTAAGCTAAGTCTTAGAAGCCTGGGGAACTGAGTCAGAGATGACGCATAGGGAACAGCTAACACAAAGGCACAGAAGTGAGAGATGGGGCGCCTTGTTTGAGGAGTAGCAAGCAGGCCAGTGTAGGTGGCCCATAGAGTATGTGAAGAGGAATAAAGTATGTAAGAATACTGGATAGAAAGGATCAAGGTTTTCACCAGCTTTAAATGCTAAATAAGTTTATGTTTGATCTTGCAACAAGGTGCCACTGGGCTATCTTAACAGGGTATGACATGGTCAGTTTTAGAAAAATAACCTCAGCAGCTAGAGTTTGGAGAAACTTGAGGCTGGCAGACCAGTTATCAAGTTATTGCAACAGTTCAGGTTAGAATTGATGAAGGCCTGAATTAGGGTTGTGGCTGTGTGTGGAAAGAAAGAAACATACATGATAGAGATGCTGTGAATGCAGAAATATTGGCTATATGGAATGAGTGAGTGAGGAATGGAGGATTATACTGAGGTTTTGGGCCAAGTGATGAGGAAGGTGGTGGTATCCTGGATAGTAATAAGTGTGAAGTTGGGGGAAGGAAGGATAGCCAGCAGCAGGGGTACAGGCTTCTCCTCAACATGTTGAATTTGAGATGACTAAAGAACATCAAGCTTGTGATATCCAAGAGGCAGTTAGTGATATGGGACTATAAAGAGAGAGGCTAGGGATAGATATATAAATCTGGAAATCATAGGCATAATAGATGGTAACTGAACCCATGGGAGCTAATGAAGTCATTGAGTAAGATAATATAGAATGAAAAAAGAAGAGTGCCTGTGACGGGGCCATGGAGGACACCCATAAATGGTAGGCACTGTATGAATGAAGAACCAACAAAGAGGAGGTCATACAATCAGGAAAGAATAGTCCCATAAAAACCTACAGCAAGAGCATATGCAGAAGGTGAAGAATGTTTTAGAGAAGTCAAGCAGGATTAGGCTTGAGAAAAGGCCATTATATTGGGCACCTGAGAGATCCTGATAACTTTCTGTTTCAGTTTCATGATGTGATCAGAAGCCAGATTGTATAGGGTTTAGAAAACAGTAAGAGAAGAGTAGGGATCAAGTGTAGAGAACTTTCTTATGGAGTTTAGCTACAAAGGGGAGGTGAGCTGTAAGATAACTAGCAGGGATGACAGGATCAAGTGAGAGTTCAGATTTTGTTTGATTTTGTTAGTTTGTTTTTAAGGCTGGGCAATAGACATGTTTGTAGGCAGCAGGGAAGAAGCCAGAAGATGGGGAAGAGTGGCAAGTGGGAATAGGATAAACAGTGAATGTAGGTAGAGGCTGGTTTTGGCAAGAAGGGCCACCTCATTCACCTGACATCCAAGTGAAGGAAGAGATAGTGGAAAATGTCTGATTGCTATAAGGATAAGGAAAGAAAGGAATGTTCTTGGCAAATGGCCTCATTTTTTTTCAATGAAGTATGAAGTCCTCAGCTAAGGGGTGCTAGGAGAGAGAGATATGTGAAGCAATCATTGTGTTGATGGAGACTGAACTGATTAGGGAAGGGGGTAGTATGTTTGCTCTGATTCTTGTGAAACAGGACATATTCTGACAATTCTAATATTATTAGTAAACAGATTTATTTAAATTAGGCCTGCTTTTAGTTTATTTAACAGTAAGGTGAATAAATGCAATTAAGTTTTAGAATACCATTTCCAAGTAATCAAATGAATGAAGCCTCTCCCAATGATTTCACAGGGTGATCAGCCTCTCTTAAAATGGGAGTTCCATTTAAGTAAACTTTAGAACCTTGCTACTGACACTTAAAGGAGTTACAACTTAAAGTAGTTAGGTGATGACTTTGAGATAACATTCAGTTCAAATAAACACGCCCCTCCCCCCCAAACCATCCTAGACAGCTAAGATACTATCCTATTTTTAAAGACTTTCAAGAAAGGAGGTGTGATTCCTAAAGTACAACCACCATCCCTGTCAGTAATTTCATCATCCATAAATCATTGGAGCTACTCTGCAGGTCTGCCTCCTATAGTGCTGCACTCAATGTGGATGAACTGAATTTTTAAAAAAGAAAAAAACAAACTGAGAATGCTCCAGTATCAAGTACCAAGCTACCTAAAGTACTGAGCCTCCATTTCCTCTTCCATTATGTATATATCTATGCATACACAAAAACATATAGCAATTACATAATGCTTGTTTGCAAAGTGCCCAACTTTATCTCGTTTGATTACACTGCGTGTATATATACATGTACACTTATAAGCCTATATATTTATATTATATGTACACATTCTCTGCAATCAAATGATAAAGTTGAGAGACAGAGAATAAGCTGTGAGGATGTGCAGCCCCGGTTACCTATGCTAACTTCCAATTTGTCTCCCTGTTAGAATGTAAGGTCCTTGCAAGTAGGGGCTTGTACTTCGTACGGAACGGAGGAGTAACAGCACCTATTTTACAGGAAGGGAAGGCTGAGGCCCGGGGAGGGGGCGGTAAAGTCTCGCTCGGCGGCTGCGGGTCCTCGGATTCTACAGCGGGTGCTCTGGAGCGCTGGGGGGTTCTGGAGGCGCGATGGGGCTGGCCAGCGGCCAGGGCCCACCGGCCGCAGGCGGGCCCAGCTTGGCGCGGCTTTCCCGCGCCGCGGGGCACCGGGGTCCCCTCCCTGGACTGAGAGGATGCCGAGCAGCAAGCGCTTCTGCTCGGCCGCCGCGTCATCCCCGCGAAGCCTTCGGGCGCTCCAAGCCCAAGCCCAAGCCCGGGCCCAGCCTCAGCACTCTAAGGCTGCCCGCGACCGAGACCGTGACCGCCCCGCCTCCTCCGCCCGGTTCGGGGGGCGGTCACGTGAACCCGACGAAGTCGCACCAATGGGAGGCGGGCGCGGAATGGAAAGGATTGCATGACCCCCGTGACGTCACAAAGCCCGCGGGGAGAGAACGCTGCCCTTCCTCCTCAGCTCCCTCTGTGCCGGCCTCCCCCACGTCTTCCTTGCCTGTCCCCTCCCGAGCCCTCCCTCTCCGCTTGCTCCCGGCTCCACGCCCGCCTTCCTTGTACCCACCCACCCGGCCGCCCCGCAGCCAATAGGGAGGCGAGAAGGGGTTCAGGGCCGCCCGGCAAGGTGCCAGAGCGGGGCCGGGGCTGGGGACAGGGCGGGGGCTGGGGCCCGAGCACCGGGGATCTGCGCCTCCGGCTGCGGGGAGGAGAAGGCGCGGGCGCCGACGCCGACGCCGGAACCGCTGCCGGAGCCGGAGCCGCCCCCGTCGCCCTCCAGCTGCTGCTCCCCAGGGAGAGGAGCCGACTCCCCGGACGTGCCCGGTGCGTAGCCCGCGCCCCGAGCTGCCCTCGCAGGACAGGGCTGCCCGGAGCCGGTGGAGCTGGCTGGCGTGCGTGCATGGGGAGGCAGCGGGGGAGGGGGCACCGAGTAAGCGTGGGTCACGCCCGTGGGGATGGGCGAAGGAGCCAGGTGTGGTCGAGGGAGAGGACTCGCCCTCCCCTCCCTCTGGAATGCGTCTAAGGGGGTGGTACCCGAGTGTGCGTGTGCTCCCACGGGGGCGTGGGCGTGCGTGGGCAGGGTAGGAAGCGTATGTCAGAGCTTAGCGAGCGCGAGTGCTTTCAGCTCCGCAGCCCCGAGGAGACGAGGCAGAGCGCCACGCACCCCACGCAGACCCTCCCGCGCCACCTGAGTTCTCGGATGCCAGCGCGCTGAATGTGGTGCGGGATGTGGGAGGAATTCGGGGCCAGAGCCCCGGAATTCTTAGGCCCCGCGGTCTCATGCGAGTCAGTGGGAGATTGCGTGCCCTGTTCGCCGGACCTTGCTCGGTGTGTGGCTTAACCCTCCTCCCCCCTTACACCTGCCCTTCCGTGGGCTTCCCAGTGCCTGTGTCCCCCACCCTCCCTTGTGCTGCTGAAGATGGGGTCCAGTTCTAGCTCTGCATTCAAAGCTCGTCGTGGACGTGGCTGGGTTTGGGGGCTACCACGCCGGCAGGGGATGGGGGGCTTGTGGGGTGCTGCTTGGTGGATGCTGCTGTTGCTGCATTATTTCTCTGCTGTACCTGGACACCCCTGAATGTGGGGAGGGGGCCGCAAGTCTGCTCTGCCTGCCGCCCCTTGGTATTGCTATGCTCCCCACTCTCCCCGTGTGCATTTGTTTGGTTTCCTCTCCTCCTCCTCCTCCTCCTCCCCTCCTTCCCCATTCACTAGCCGGAGCCCTTCCTCCTCCCCCTTGCTCCTCACCTCCCTCTCTAATATTATTAATCTCTGCCTTGCTTTCAATGGGCCGGTGCTGCTGTCGCTGCTGTTGCTGCCCGTGCGGGGTGTGGATGTTGTCGGCTCCGTGTTGTGATGACAGGAGAATGTGTGTGTGTCCCGGGTCCAGGCGAATTGGTAGGTATTATATTAACCACCAGCTTCAGGTACTCAAGGGAAGGTTGTTTTTTATTTTTATTTTTATTTTTCTAAGTCTTTTTTTTTTGAGGGGGGGAAGCAATTTGAAATTAAGGGGACAGGTAAGAATAGAAGACAAAGACATCCTGAGCTTTATGGAGATTGCAACTGATGTCTCTGGGTTAGGCAGATTTCAGTTTAGGGATAAAGGAAGCATCAAAAGAGTGTTGGGCAGTGCCTCTCTTCCTGTTTGGAAAATCTAATTAATTCATTGGAATATCACCTTGGGATGGGTGAAACTCTGAATAAACAACTCCCCCACCAATAGGCACTGAGAAAATGCAGAAAAACAGCAATGATCCTTTTGGCGGTTTCTTTAATAAATTTATATTAAAGCTTTCTTTTTTAAGGTAATTAATACTGTGTTTTGTTTTGTTTTTTTATGTTAAAGTAATACTGTATTTGTGTTACATTGAGATAATTAATACTGTATTTTTGTGTACCAAAAAAAAAGCCTTTGAAAGATAGGAGACTGGAATCAGTGGAAGAGTAACATATACCAGTTGGTTTGATTCAGAGGTTTGTTTATGAAATAGTCATTTTCAATCCCTAGCATAGGTGCAGCAGTGTTCACGCAAGTAATAGATTCATTCTTTGCCCTGCTTTTAGTTTCAGGAGGTTTTTCAAAAATCACTCTGGCAAAATCAGCCACTGTTGCTTGAGCAGTATGTACGAGACTGTTAGGATTCTGTGGTTTAAGTCTAGGTCATAAAGCTTGAACTTTTAAGTGAGACTGTGGTAAGAAAAATGAGAATTTGGTCAATTTATTAACATCTGTAGGTGTCCTGTCTTTCTGTCGTCTTCCTTCCTTCCTTCCTTCCTTCCTTCCTTCCTTCCTTCCTTCTTCCTTCCTTCTTCCTTCCTTCCTTCCTTCCTTCCTTCCTTCCTTCCTTCCTTCCTTCCGGCATCTTAGAATCAAGTGCCCCCAACCTCATTCTAATTCAGCAAGCTTGTTAGCAAAAGTTTTGATCTCGGAGTATTTTAGTGAGGTATGATCCAGAAAGAACTATACTTCAGGGTTTTGGAGAGACCATTTAGTGCCAGTGATATCAACTCAAAACTTCAGCCTCATGAAGGAAACAGATCACATGGCAACCTAGCACAGTGGCTCATAGGAGTGGGCTTTCATTTATTACCACTTCTTCCTCATCATTTCTCTTTTAGAAGGATGTAATGGTTGTTGGGATATCACAGGAAACTGAGGCATACTCCTATAAGACAGGTTACTTGAATAAAAGGATTTGTGCTGAAATTTAAAATTTTTAAAGATAAATCTTAAGGGGATTTTCAGCAAAGGAGTCTTAGAGATATTTGCTATTTTGAATATTGTATGAAACCCACCTGCTGTTCAAATGCATAGTTCAGAGTACCATGCAATTTTATCTGTGTTGTGAAATTGTAATCATTTTGCCACAAACTGGATAAAACTGCCTAAAAAATAAGATAGTTGTTATCAGGGTGATGGTTTCCTGGAGAAAAGACAACAAATTCAACGAAATCCTGTTTTCTCTCTGTCTAGCAAAAACCAAATGGAACTTGATTTTCTCTTAATTGAAATGTCTTTTTTTTTTGGCTTTTTGAAAAAAATCTTAAGCTGACAAGTTTGAACAGATGTAAACTGCTTCCCTACTTAGATCAGGGGGTCCTTAGCCTTTTTTTTTTTATGTTATAGACCTTGTTAGGAATCTGGTGAAGCTAATGGACCTCTTTTCAGAATAATGTTTTTAAATGCATAAAATAGAATACATGCAATTAACAAGGAAATCAAAGGTTAGTGAAAATAAAGATGAGATTTTTTTCCCCCAAAGTTCATAGACCCCCCCTGAAATCCATCCACAGACTCCTTGGAGGAAGGGGGCTTCATGGATATTTGAACCCTAGATTTAGATCATCAAGAAACATTTTTCTTATTTTTAAATCAAAATTTTGTTTTTTATGTAACAGAAAAATATTTGTATAATGGAATGCTCTCAGGTTGAGTTGATTAAGATTTCTGCACTGCAAATCTAAACTGAAAAAACATGCAGGGTGGATGCAGGCCAGTAGCATGTGGTCTGTCTACATCTGGGTACATCTCTTGGCTCAAGTCATATTGATTTAACCTTTGGTTGACTTTCAAGTACGTTTTGGAGGGCTTTTAGTTGTTAGGCCTGACTGAAGTATGACGTTCTTTGATTGTTCCAGCTGAAATATTGTCTTTCAGGGCTGCAGTCAGTCAGCACTGTTGAGTCACCTGTTCTTGTTCCTAAAATTCTAACCATCCATTTTGATTTCATTTTCATTTTCTAGAAATGTAGCCATTCTTAGTCATTGACATCAAATATAGGGTGATCGCTAACCCTTCTAAAAGGCTTTTTGAGCAGTTTCATTGCTTGATCTGTTAGAAACAAGGATTGATTGTTCAGAGTTTTATTTCCACTTGTCACTTCTTGTTAAATCTACCCTTCAAAAAAAAAAGACATGGAGTTTAGTGCACCTCACTTTTTTTTCTTTTTGTTGTGTTTAGTTTCTCACAGGGATGTCAGAGAAATGAATTAGATGATATTTTATCCTCCTTCCTCCCCTCCCTTTGTTATTTTCTAAGTCAGTGTCTATACCCACCAGGTGAAGAAGAGGCAAGGCAATTGCTTAAAACATTTACTTGGATAATTAATGCAGAAATGCCTGCTGTCTAGGAAAAGGAATGTAGTTTCCCCCCCCCCGCATGAATTATCCATGTTAGAACTCTACATTTGTTGTGTTTTCTAGATAAATGTTTAATATTTTGCTTGGACTGTGTATACTGATTCATAGTAAATTCTAATTTTTATATGTGATGATAATTCTATACATTTCTTCCTGAAGTGTTAGAGCGCTGTTGGAGCAGCAAATGCCCTGACACAGTGAAGTATGGTTTTTTATTAAGGAGCTAAGAAAGAGAACATTTTTTAATGTTGCCATCCACCATGGAGGAAAAATGTATTGGAACTGACAAACTAGGACCATTTTAGCAGGAGAATTAAATTCCAAAACCGAAACTGTTCTTCACATCAATAACAGGCTGTTTATGTGTCCTAGAACCCTTTATCATGAGGAATGAGGACAGTACACATCAGTGAAGCCTGTGGATAACCACAGTCTCATTTCAACAAATAGTTTTACCCTCTCTTTCACCAGCTCACTAAACAGAGCTGCTAATGAGTAGCCAAATGAGCTAAGCTTCTCTTCCTTCTTATCCCCACTCTATCCCCAGTCTATCCTTCTTTTGTGCTTATTTCAGAAGCCATATTGAGCAGTCAAATGGCCACTAGGAGGGAGAATTTTAGCTCCTGTGTAATACATTGTTTTTAAGTATTGAAAGAATCTGTGGTCTGGTTTGCATACTTTCCACTAACGTTGGTTACAGCCCATCTTCATATTAGCAAGTGGGTTTCTTGATTTTTTGCAGAAATTCAGCTCATAGATAACCTTTTATTAATGAAAGTAAATTCAGCTTAGCTAGACAAGTTTTTACTGTCTGCCCCCAACTCTAGATTTGAAGGCATTTTAGCTTTGTAAAATCTACTTGAGGTCCTACTGGCACAAAAACTTTAAGAACACTTCTGTGCCAAAATGAGAGACTCAGTTAGGATTTTATTGAAAGATTTATATAACTGGGTAATTGGCTTTTAAATTCAGCTCAAGAAATATTTAATAAGTATTACTGTCAGTCAACAAGCATTGATTCAGTGCTCGCTGTATATGAAGCATTGTGCTAAATGCCGTGATCCAAAGAATCAGTCCCTGCTTACCTTCTCTCATAGGAGTTAATATACCCACGTCTGTGTGTATGTGTTTATCTATCTGTGAGCATATACAAGGTAAACTGCTATGTGCAAGATTCTCCTAGGTGCTGGGGGTGGGGGTGTGCTAAAACAACAGTCTTGCCCTCCAGTTGCTTACTGGGGGGCTGCGATATGTCAATATAAGGTAATTTGGTTAGAGAGAGAGCCCTAGCAGCTGAAGGCAGTCAGAAGGAGAGAACACTCTAGTTGAGATTTAAAGAAAGCCAAGAGTTTAGAAGGGCAGCTAGGTAGTACAGTGGATAGAGTGCTGGGCCTGGAGTCAGGAAGACTCATGTTCCCGAGTTCAGATCTGGCCACAGACACTTTCTAGCTGTGTGTCCCCGGGCAAACCCCGTTTGCCTCAGTTTCTTCATGTGTGATATGAACTGGAGAAGGAAATGGCAAACCACTCCATTATCTTTGCCAGGGGAACCCCAAGTGGGGTCACGAAGAGTCGGACACGATCGAACGACAGCAGCAAGACATTTAGAAAGTTGCCATTAGCTGTGCTTGTGGAAATAATGCTTGGCAGAGGTGTGAAAGTTCATTTCTCTAATCAAATATATATGTTTCTTTTTTCTTTGCATTTGTTTCATTTGTCATCCAGGAATCCCGGTCAGAAGTTCCAGCCTGCCCTTGTACTCTGATGCCATGCCGGCGCCGACTCAGCTGCTTTTCCCCCTCATCCGTAACTGTGAGCTCAGCCGTATCTGTGGCACCGCATGCTACTGCCACCACTCACATCTGTGCTGCTCCCCACCTCCCTTCCCTGTCAGCCGCCTGAGATACACCCCTCAGAAGGCATTCTCGACTTCTTCGGCCAAAGGATCACTTCTGGCAGTATACCCACACGAGGAGATACGCTACCACCCCTCAGAGATTTTACCTCACGCCTCCGCAGGTCAACAGTATCCTAAAAGCCAACGAGTACAGTTTTAAGGTACCTGAGTTTGACGGCAAAAATGTAAGTTCTGTTCTTGGATTTGACAGCAATCAGCTGCCTGCCAATGCCCCCATCGAGGACCGCAGGAGTGCAGCGACTTGCTTGCAGACCAGGGGGATGCTCTTGGGGGTGTTTGACGGTCATGCGGGATGTGCCTGCTCTCAGGCAGTCAGTGAAAGGCTTTTTTACTACATCGCGGTCTCTTTGTTGCCCCATGAGACTTTGTTAGAGATAGAAAATGCCGTGGAGAGTGGCCGAGCCCTTTTACCCATCCTGCAGTGGCACAAGCACCCCAATGATTATTTCAGTAGAGAGGCATCCAAACTTTATTTCAACAGCTTGAGGACTTACTGGCAAGAGCTCATAGACCTGAACACTGGGGAAACCACTGATGTCAAGGAGGCTTTGATTAATGCCTTCAAGAGGCTTTGATAATGACATCTCTCTAGAAGCACAAGTAGGGGATCCCAACTCTTTCCTCAACTACCTGGTGCTGCGAGTGGCCTTCTCAGGGGCCACTGCTTGTGTGGCCCACGTGGATGGGGTTGACCTGCACGTGGCCAATACCGGGGACAGCCGGGCCATGCTGGGGGTACAGGAAGAAGATGGCTCATGGTCGGCAGTCACCCTTTCCAATGATCATAATGCACAGAATGAAAGTGAAGTGGAAAGGCTAAAACTAGAGCATCCCAAGGCTGAGGCCAAAAGTGTCGTGAAGCAGGACCGGTTACTGGGTTTGCTGATGCCATTCCGAGCATTTGGAGATGTGAAGTTCAAGTGGAGCATTGAACTTCAGAAGAGGGTGATAGAATCAGGCCCAGATCAGTTGAATGACAATGAGTATACCAAGTTTATCCCCCCCAATTATTATACCCCCCCGTATCTCACTGCTGAGCCAGAAGTAATATACCACAGGTTAAGGCCACAGGATAAGTTTCTGGTGCTGGCGACTGATGGTCTGTGGGAGACCATGCACAGGCAGGATGTGGTTAAAATAGTAGGCGAGTACCTGACTGGAGTTCATCAGCAAAGTCCTATCTCCGTCGGTGGTTACAAGGTAACTCTGGGACAGATGCATGGTCTCTTAGCAGAAAGGAGAGCCAAGATTTCTTCTGCATTTGAAGATCAAAATGCAGCCACCCATCTCATTCGTCATGCTGTTGGCAATAATGAATTTGGGGCTGTTGATCACGAGCGCCTCTCCAAAATGCTCAGTCTTCCTGAGGAGCTTGCTCGGATGTATAGGGATGACATCACCATTATTGTTGTCCAGTTTAATTCTCATGTGGTGGGAGCATATCAAAACCAGGAACAGTGAGTGACTAAAAAATTAAGGCAATTAGAGAATGAAAATGACAGGTTTGAATGGTGAAGATATTAAAAAAAAAATGAACTTGAGAAATCCTTCCAGTGGGTCAGCCCGTTAAATCAAGCATTTACTCATTTAAAATCCTAACTAATACAAGTGTGTTTCTAGAATTGGGGAGAATGTCAGGAAAGGGCCTAGTAAACTGACTTCTCTAAAGGTCTGAAAAAAAAAATGCTGCCTTAGCTCTGACCAGACATGGCTCCTCCAGTTGATAAGGAAAAGATACTTGGAGACCTATCAAGTTCTCGTTATAAGTGTCCTCTAGGGAGGAGAGGCTTAATTTTACCAGTCTTTGAAAATAGCCATGACCTCAGGATAGGACCTTGAGTAAGACAGAGTGAAAGGAATTCGCTGGGTCTATGCTTACTGTAGAAAGGGAGCAAAATGCTATTCATTTGCAGCCTGATTTTCTTCAAGAAAAATACCTGTTTTACCAATGAGCAAAACTGTTGCTCACTACCATTTTTAATTGCACACTTACCTGTATGTTTTTGTTTACACATTGTACATATAACTCTTTCCATTTAAATATGTTAAGCTGTAAGTTAGCAAAACTCAAGTAATTGAAATTTATTCAACCAATTTGGTTTATGACATTTAAGGGAAATGATGCTTTTGGGAAAAATGTAACCAGATTTTGTTCCCTTTCTGTCCCACTTATCCTTTCCCCACCACTGCCCCAATATCAACTTGGAATTGAAACATTTCTTCTTACAATGATTTTAAGAAAACAAAATTTTTGGTTCTCTCATTTGTTATTGATAATAAACAGGGAAAAAAACATTGCATTTCACTTGTATGGTGTGAAAATCTTGGTTCAGCTGCTTAAATGAATAAGAGACTTTTTTGACTCCTGAAAGATGTAAGATTTTTTTTTTAGACTAAGAAAGGAAAAAACTGAATTATCCTCAAGAATATCCTCAAGAACTTTATACCCTCTGAGTTTATTTTACATCAGTGTTCTTTATTAAATGATCTCCAACTATGGCATGCTATCAGAGTGGGGATAGGCCCTTTTTTATCATAAGACCACCATTTTTTAATTTTGGTGCTTCTCTAAAAATTGTTCATCAACATTGTATTTCATATCTACCATGTGTGTGGCAAGTTACAAAAGGTGGGGTGAGAAAAGGGACATTTCAGTATCACTAGATAGAAAGGGAATCTTTCCTTCCTCTGCTTCTCCCCTCTTCCCCTGAAAACACAGGTCAAAATGTAAACATCCTTGTTTTAAACATTGCTAAATGCTTTCTTTATACATACTATGGCTTGTAAATAGGAATGTAAAGAAAGAGATGAAACACCTAAGGAAGGTAATTACTGTGCATGCCTGATACTTAATATTGATCACAGCATCATCACCCACTACCATTTTCTACACCCATGTCCCCATGTGATTTCGTTTCTGCTGACCATAGAAGGAAAGGAATACAATCACAATGGAGGGAAATATATTTGTGGTGGCACTTTGAAGCTTTTTTAGTATGTATCATTGGATGTTTCACCACTGGATTTAGTTGTGAACTGTGGATTTATTTTCTCCAATCTAATATCAGTGAAAAGACTAGCTATGACTACATTTGATTTGCAGGTAGATTTGGATATAAACTGTTCCCAGCTTTCAACATGCAACTAGTTGGGAATATTTAGTAATAGGATAAAAATTGGACCAGATGTGCAAGGATTCTTTCTAGCCTTTGAGCAATCAGGCTCAACTGGTGTGGACTGCTAAATTTGATTTTGTTAAAAGCTCAACCAGAAGGCTAGTAGCACAGAGTAATTTGCTATTTGATTTCTGGGTATGTTACATATTTAGTACTCAGTGGTACAAAAAGAGAATCCCTAATGCATTGTGTACTGTAGAAATGGAGTTATATCAACTGCTCTGAATAAAACCACTGAATATCTAATAAAATCTTTGACGTTTGTATATAGCCCACTGCTATGTAAATTTGGCTTCCCATTGTCCTAACCAATATGGTGGCATTTCCCATCACTTTATTAAAAACAATCATATATTGGTCTTCAATTTGAAAGCTCAGTTCATTTTCCCGCTGAAGACAAAAACCATAGTTTGAATGTTGACAGCTTTAGGAATGAGATAAATTGAGTGTAATGCCATCCAAAGCAACTGTGATCTTATTGTAATTTCTTGTCTCTGTTATTCTTTATGCAGAACTAAAATTCTTGTATAGGTAAAAAGGCTTGTATCTTTCTGTTGCCTTGTCTCATGTGTAAAGTACAGAATGTATGTAAGCTGTTAAAGAATTTAACCTTTCTTAAATTTTTCTACTGTTTAAACTTTCTAGCAGCATATGCACTTAACTACTGTATTTATATCTAATCAGTGGTTCATTATAGTATTTATATTTAAAAAAAAGTCCTTAATGAGTTAAAAAGGGATCCTGGTACTATATCAGTACTCAATAGGAAAACAACAACAACTTTGTTTCATAACTGTACAGGGATATATTAAAGTGTTTATGACTTGGAGAAATGTTGTTAGAGATGTCTGGAGTGAATTAAAGCGTTATAACTGCTTTCCAAATGCTTTGTGATGTGTTTTAAGCATAAGAATGTCTTTTAAAACAATTTCAATATCTTTTGTTTTTATACCACTTTCATTTCTAAATATCGTTTCCTCATCCCCTTCCCAGTGAACAATCTCTTATAACAAAATTTGAAAAGAAGAAAGTTATGCAAAAGTTACCAATGCATCAACAGTGCCTGATAGTATATACCCTTTTTCATGCCCTTCGTCCCCTATTTCTGTAGAGAAGAGAGGGAAATACCTTTTCTCATCTCTTCTTGAAGGACAGATTTGATTTTTAAAAATATTTTCATTCATATTTTTGTTTAAATTTTATACATTGTTTCTTTTTGCTTGCTTGCTTCACCTTATGTCAATTTATATAAAAATTTCTGTACTTCATATTCATCACAATTTACAGTAATATTCCATGACGCTCATACCACAGTTTGTCTAGCCATTTCCTCAATTGGTGAGTGTCTACTTTAACATTTATTTGCTACTATAAAAATACAAATATTTTGATGTACATGGGACCTTCCTTTTAGTCTCTCATCTCCTTCAGGTATATGTTTAACAGATTTCTGGTCACAGGGTATGGTCATTTCAATTTTTTTTAAGCTCAATTTTAAATTGCTTTCTATGTGGAGAAAGGATTAGATTTACTCTATTTGGCTCCAGGAGGCAGAACCAGGAGGAGTAGGAAGTTGCAGGGGGAAGAGAAGCTAATTTAGATTTAACGTGAAGGTAAACTCCCTAGCATGCTAGTTAGAGTGAATTGAGCTACTTTGGGAGGTGATAGGTCCCTGGTCAGAGGTCTTCAAGTAGAGCCTAGATGACCATTTGTTTAAAGGTTCCTTTGGTATGTGGGTTGAACTAAATGGTCACCGGAGTCTACTCTGACTCAACTTATGTGAATCAATAAATAGTACAATTATATTTTTAGAATAAATGTTAGAATTATGGTCATGCCTGTCACTGCTTGTGCCATTTCCTCTAATGAGGGTATTTGGAAGGAACCAGTTTAAGAAATCTCCAGATTTTTAACTTAAGTAAAAGTGGTATGTCAGGCTGGGGTCTATTTGCTTTTTTATCAGTAAGGAGCCAATCTGTTTTTAAATGGAAGACATTTACATAAACACAGGAGACAGATGCTTGTCTGGGCAATGAATGAGGGACTGATTTTTGTAGCTGGTCTCAGTCTAGCCAGGGGAATGACCTTGAATGAAGATCTTTGCAAGTCAATCAACAAGCATTTATTAAGTACTTACTATGGGCCAGGTGATGTAAGAGACTTATGAATGAGTAGTATAAGTCAAATAAGGTAGTGTATTTCTAAGTACACTTTTTATATGTAAGATGTGTATGTATGTATGCATACATGTACACACACACACACACACACACATACATACAACTAGCTAGTCATGAATCTCAGAATTTTAGAAGTTCATAATATTTGAATCCTCCAGGTCAAGTCCAACTGTGATGCCCCATTGTGGCTTTGGAGGTAACTTTATATTCTCATCAGTTATGCCAATAGAGAGCATATTGGCAGTTATTCTCGAATTGGAAAGGCTTTGAGTTCTGGTGTGGAGGACGGCTTCTGTCATCTGACCTGCCTGATGTGTAGAGAAGTTTGGTTTCCAGCTGATGTTTTTTATTTTCTTTTACTTTTTTTGACTATACCCACTAAAGAAGGTGTCTGAAAATAAAAGCAGGTTTTGAGGTATTTGTGAGTGAAGTCCCATAATGGTGAAATTTTAGGTCTTTTGAAGTATTGAAGAGTGTTTGGGCCTTGAAATTTGTTCCAGTATTAGCTGTTATTGTTAGAAGGATGCGCATGGTGGTTTTAGCCATATGACATGACCACCTTTGACCTGTTATTTTCCCTCAATTCTGCATTCTTAGAGGTCATCTAGTCTTATCCTTGTTTTATAGAAAGGAAAACCAAGGTCCTCAGATGCTAGCACCAATAGTATTTTCCCTCTAACCACAAAAAGGTCTGGGGAGATAAATCTTTGGAAGAGAAAATGACTCCCTCTACTTGGGTAGCAAGTAAGGTTTTAAAAACGTTTCTGTCTTGAGGAGGTGGAGGCTGGAGGCAATAGCTAAGGGTTGGCAGAGCTGTTTTAGAAAAATTGGGAAATAGCATCAGTAAAAGAAGTTGTGGTGCATTTTTAAGCAGAAGCATTCATGTGCCCAACAAAACATTGGTTTCTATACTGTCTCAGGAGGAGGAGTGGAGTTTGTGAATGTTTGACTATTCTGACCCTTAGGTATCATTTTATTGTCCATTACATATTTTTGCATACCTTTAACTTTTCTTTCAAGTGAAAATAGGAGCCATTGTAGAAGAAAAGGAAGCAGAGAAGGAATATATTCATTCAAGTCTTTAGAAACTTCTGAGTCCTTATGATTTCAAAGTTCACTTTAGATTTAGTCATTGTAGTACTTACAGGGAGCTTAGTTTTTACCAAAGACCTGATACTGCCTTATCCTGCTATAGAACTGGCCCGGGCTCTTCTACGCTCTGCCAGTAGAGCTGGTCCTACCTGAGTAGAAGGGCATTGAGTATTGGTCCATTGACAGATTGATCCTAGGGTCAACCCAACAAAAGTCAGAAAGTTTATCACCAGCCTGGTGGCTGAATAATCAAGTTTTCTACCACAGCAACTCTGGAAGAGAGTCTGTTAAATTGAGGAGGGGCTTTTGGAATATAGCTAGAGGACAAAATCATTCATCTGTGAAGTACTGAAATTGTAGGAACCTTAGTGATGTAGGCCAGGGAATCTTAACCATTTTTGTGTCCTGGACCTTTAGACAGTCTGGAGAAGCCAACGGATCCCTTAATATAGTCTAAACAATAATTGAAGCAAATGTTAAATTTCAATTAGAAATTATTGAAAATAAATTTGTAGTTTTCTTTCCCCATCAAGACCATGGACTCCCTTAAATCTGTCCACAGAGTGGCTTGTGGACCCCAGATTAAGAATCCCTGCTTTAGGCCAGCCTAGGCCTACTTTCTCATTTTGTAGATAAGGTAACTGAATGCTATAGAAGACAAATAACTTATCCATGGTCACACAGCTAGATAACATGACTAGAATCAATGGATTTCTCTTTTTAAATATTGCCTCCTTTGAAAGGACAGAGAAAAGTAACCCCCATTCACTCAACTTTTCACTGGGAAGGTCTTAGAGGCTCTATTTTTGAAAGGTGCTTTCACTTTTCTAGGTAATCAGATAATATATGGAATGGCATAGTATTTGTGCTAGAGACAAAAGAAAATAGTATGAATGAAAGTGGTTCTTGACCTGAGGGAATAGTGCATTGTAGTTGGGAAAGATGGACAGAAATGGAGAGAGTGAGAATGACATCTTAGGTCTGAGCACTCACTGGTGAGCATTCATTAAGCATTTGTGGAATGGCTGAATAAATGATATTGAGGGGTGGGTGTTAGTCTTTTTTTAGCTTGTGTTTATTATTAAGGAATATTTCCAATTCAGACACTTGAATATTTTAGCATTTGTGCTTTATCATTCTTAGCCACGTTCATTTTGGAAAGCATGATGTAAGTTGAGAGGTATTTAGAAAACAATGCTGTAGTTTGTCATAATAACTGGGCCAGGCCCTAGGGTATTAATTAGATTGTCATATGAACCAGGAAAATAGGGCTTAATCTGATTGTTTCGCTTCAAGTAAATTGTAAAGGGAACCGAGAAAATGGCCTTCTTGCTATGTGTCAAATGCACATCTGTTAGAGTGTCTTTATTTTCCCAGTTCATTCCGGGCAGATAATGGTGCTACTTTGTCAGGTGAGGAAATTTTTGCAATCAACTGCAGTTTGGGTTTTTTTTGTCTTTATGAAAATTATCCGATTTGTGGCGCTGTAAACAAAAAGGATTGGCTTACACTCTAAAAGTAATATTGCCAATATCCTTTGTACATCTCACTATGCAAAATACGTGTATTACAGGATCATAGATTCACAGTTGGACAGGATCTCTGTGGTCATCCAGTCCCACCTTTTCATTTTACTACTGAGGAAACTGAGGCCCGCAGAATTTGTGTCAGAGAGTAGGTGAGAACCTTGTCTTTGGGACTAAGAAGGCGAGCCATGCCAGCTTGTTCCATCAGGTTCACCTTTGTTGAATGAAACACAGGCCTGACAGTGAATGGATCTGGTGAGCTACTGAAATATACAGTTAAATTCTAGATTCCCAAGCCAAACTGCCTTGGGCACCTGAAACACCACGGTAACTCACAATCATGAAGTGTTTGAAGATTTACCAAGTACTTTCCTCAAAACGATCCTATGAGGTAGGCCTAAGATCACACGGCTAATACAGGTCAGAGGTAGATTTTGAATCCATTTTCTCTTACCAAATGTGGTACCTTTTCCATTCTATCTTATCTTACCCTACACCCTAGGGGAACATTCCCTTTAGTAGGCCCATAATCACCATAAGGACCACTCTATGCTTAGCTGCATCCTGTATATGCTCAATCATCATCCCCCTAAGGTGGACAGATTTTTCCTATCAAAGACTAAATCCCTGTCTTACAGCATTTTTCACTACTCCCTCTGGCTTACTTAATGGTATTCCCTTTTCCCAATCTTATCCATTATAGTGCAACATAGAGGTTTAAGCATGCAATTAAATTCCATATACACTAATACATTGTACTATAGACATTTAGGGGAAAACATAAGAGTTAAGACCTTAGGTTTCTAGAATACAGCTTTCTGGAACAGTCTAGGGCCTGGATATGTTTGGGGTGGGGTGGGGTGGGATGAATCCCTTTGAAGAAGGCAACTTTGTACACCTGAAGTTGAAGGAACCCAGGTGAAAATTGAGCACCTCGAAATTACACCCAATATGTGATGAGGGTAACAGATCACTCAGCCAGATGAAGGAAAACTCTGCAATATGTTGGCAATGTCTAGAAAAGGCCAGTCTTTCCTTAGAAAACTGGTAAGCAACAGCAGAGAGAAGAGAAAGAAAGGAAGAAGA